CCCCCGTCCCCGGCCCCCGCCCCCGGCGCGGCGCGGGCCCCCTGCCGCTACGCGGGGCCACCCTGCTGCGCCTGCGGCCCGAGGGGCTGGCGTGCACGGCCGCCGAGGGCGGTGAGCCCGGTCAGCTGGAGACGGCCTCTTACGTCTTCTTTGGCATCGTGCTGGCCCTCATCGGCATTGTCTTCCTCATGGTGCTCTACCTGAACCGCCGCGGCATCAAGCGTTGGCTGCACAACCTGCGCGAGGCTTGCCGCGACCAGATGGAGGGCTACCACTACCGCTATGAGCAGGACGCCGATCCCCGCCGTACCAGCGCCATCGGCACCCCCGGCCTCTGACGGCATCCCCGGCATCTGCCCACCATGCCGCCCCTCGACGCCTCCGCTCCCGGCATCCGCCTCGCCCCATCCCCATCCCCTTGCCATGGCACCACCGAAAATCAGCTTCTGAGGATGCGCCGGCCTCGGGGATGGGTGCCGGGGTGCGTCGGAGCGGGGAGCACCCTCCCCGGAGGGCTCCGGACCAGCTCTGCCCGTGCCCTAATCGATCCCGTAGCGCTGATTCCCGCAGGGGACCGGGCTGGATCCGTTCCCCCCATCCCAGCGCCCACGGGCGGGGGGAAGCGCATCCGGATCGGCCCCGTGGGATACCAGCACGCGCGGCCCCGGTGCTCCCGGGAGGATTACGAGCTGCTTCCCGCGCCGCCGCTCCAGCGGCAGGGCTCTTCGGCGGACTGCGGGATGCCAGGCTGCCGGCGGGGCTCGGCACCGCGCGCACGTGAGTGTTTGCTTGGCACATCCCGGGAAGCAGCGGGCAATACCTGAAACTGTCCTCCTGGATGTTCCTGGAGCCCGGACTTGACTTTGACCATGTACAGCTCTCTTTCCTATTAGATTTCTATTTGACAGATGCAAAACTTAACTTGATTTCTTTTTTCCTTTTTGTTTTTTTTGCTCCAAACACAGGGGAAAGCACACCATCCAGCCGCTCTCCCTGAGCAGCGACGTGCTTTTCCCAGCCCGTTTATCCGTTTGGATTTGTTCGATGACATTTCCAGCTCTTTCCAGGCACAAAGCGACGCAGCTGTGTAGGAAACGCCTCCGCCGGCTGCGTGCATGTTCCCCAGGGCACGCGGGGGCAGCCCTTTTCTGACTCTCAAATATATCCTAGACTAGGCTGTCTCAGCACTTTGTAATTTAAAACGAGCGAAGCGAAAGCTCCCGACCTAGTTCACCCACCCGTGTTTGCTTTAGAACCGTGCCTGTTACTATATCCTAGAGCAAATATATTGAAAGCTGCATCCACTCTATCGTCTATTTTCTATAAAGCTTCTTGCAACCATTTCCCAATATCCCTGTTGTGGTTTAACGCACCGAGGCGATGTTAGTGCGGTTGGTTTGCCGGAGGAAGGCAGCCGTGGCCTCCTCTGTAGTTTTGCTGGTGCTTAGAAACTTCTTTTCCTGGGCTGGTTTGGGGGCCAGGGATGCAGAGAGGTTTCGCACGGCTCGTGCACAGAGCTCGGGCTCTGCCGGTCCTCATCCTTCCCTGGTAGCGGGGCAGGGGCTTGGGAAAATCACCCAGGTAATAGGTTTCTAAAGCAGTTTTTATCTTCTGGGTGTTTTGGTACCTAATTCATGAGACACCGGAGTGCCGAGCATCTACAGACGCGGGGAGAGGCAGCGCGGGGCTGCAACTCACAGCATTTCCCGAAATGAGGGTGTAGCTTTTGCAGCGTGGCCTCTTAAACTGCCGAATTTCGGTGCCGGGCTGAAAACTTAAGTGTTGCATTTTGCTACGTCTGTGTTTGCCTTTCTCCGTACCAGGAGGCTGACATGGGCGAGCCGGGCAGGGGCGCGGACGGGGGCTGCATCCTCGCCGCCCCGCAGCCGTGCTGGGACCACTGCCGGTGTTTGCCCGGTGCTTTGGGATCCTTGACGTGGGGAGCAGCAGGCACCTGGTGTATCGGGTTTGTAAATGAGAGGGGTTTGGGATTTATGGTCCCTGAGCCTGCGTGTGATACTCAGCTGTCAGGCGGAAAGCTCTGCTGGGGGAAAGCACAATTATTTCTGTCCCAGGCGGGCCCGCAGGCCCCGGGAAGGATGCGACCTGGTGCAGGGTCCTTTGCATTTTACCCTTTTGCTTTTTCCCCCATTGCATTTTACCCCTTGACATCTCCTCCCCTTGCAAGCCCGGGGTCGAGGTGGGCAAGCCGGCAGGGAACGGGGGCCGGGACGCGTGCAGAGCCGTGCATCTGAGCTGTGTTCAGGTAGGGATACAGCACCGGGAGTCAAAATGAGTTTCCTGGGTGCTCTGGGCTGGTCCTGCTGAGCAGGGAGGTGGTTCCCCACCAGAGCTGGGTTCTGGCTCTGACCTGGAGACCCCAGAGACCCCAGAGACCCCCACGGCTCAGCTCAGCGGAGATGAGTTGCTCCGGCAGAAACTTGTTGCATCTCAGGGACCTTTTCCTGAGGTTTTCTCCCCAGCCTAGGAGCTCGTGGGCTTCGGCACCACCTCACCACCCCATGCACTGAGTTATGGGGCAGGCTTGTGGGGGAGAAATCTCAGCCTACCCCTCATCATCCTCTGCTTTCCCACCTTCTCCCTTGGTTTCCCGTCCCCGTGCAGCCAAAACGCAGCCTCAGAGCAAGAGCAAGGGGTGGCTTTCACATCTGGCAGCCACATCTGGCAGAGCACGCCGTGCCGGGAGCGAACGCTGCTGAGCATCACGGGTTGTCCCAGGCTGCAATTCCACCGGAGCAGCATCAGCTCGTGGGGACGGTGCTGGGAAGTCCTGGCGAGATTGAACATCTCGCAGCGAGGAGGAGAAGCACCCGGAGGGCTTTGCGGGCAGACGGGTGGTTGTTGGACCAGGGAACACAGCACCCACCCAGCACCGGCCGCCGGTGCCTGGCGATAGGTAACAGGAAGGAAACCACCTCCAGGGAGAGAGAAAAGCGGCCAAACACATCCTGGCCCCAAAGCCCTTTGGCAAAGGGGGCGGCCGGCGCGGGCAGCTGGGTGCTCCGGCTTTTCCCGAGGCCAGAGGGAGGGACGCGGTGGCTTTTGGTCCCTGGGGATGAGGACGCTCCTCCTTCCGGCACTGAGCAGCGGGAGGTCTGGAGCAACGTGCTCTCCAGCCTTGCTGGGTGCACCGAGCCCCCGGGGTGCGTGCACCGGCCCCCTCCGGGGGGGCAAAGCCCCGTCAGCCCGGCAAAGGCGACGTGCGAGCGCTCGGCTGTGGGTGGTTGGGTAGGTAACCAGCTGTAGGAGCATAATTCTTGCGGCTGGTTAATGTTAATATTATTCTGTACAGCGCATACCCCACGCATGAGAAATCAGCAGGATTAGGGAACCTCTGGATTAGCGAAACCAAGACTTGTCAGCGAGCCGAGATCAAAACGTGCTTTTTGGGTTCCCAAAAATGGCCGCGTGTTTAGAGAAACCCAGCTGCCGTCACGTTTCCGTGCGGTCCCTTTTGCGAAGGGATCGGCGAGGGGGACGCAAACCTCCCGGCATCCCAAGCCTTCGGCAGCGAGCCGCTGCCTGAGCGGAAAGTTACCTGGATGGCTCCTCGAGCCGCACGCGATGCAGGATACAAACAGCGTCTGCGATACGAATCAAGAGAAGGATGCTGACAGCCCTCTGCGGTGGCTCGTCACCGAAAAACAGGGAAAAAACCCAAAAATGTCTATTTATATGGGCTGTGCATGAGATGCTTATAAGCCGCTGGTGCTTTGCAACCCAGCATGGTCTTTCAGATCCGCTTTTCCTTCCTTATTTTCCAAAGAGCTCCGCTGTTCCTTGGGCTGATCCGGCCCAGAGGCAAGCAGTGAGATTTAGCCAAGGAGGTGGAGGTGGGTGCAGCCAGAGTTGGGCCAGGCAACGCTGCCTGCCCTGCCTGCATCCATCCATCCTCCCCTGCACACGTCCTCGGGGGGTTTAGGTGCTCGTGTCGCTGGACCAGGGCATCCCGGGTGCGTTTTGAGAAGGATTTTTGCTCCGGTTTGGTGGAAGTTGCTCCATGACGCCCAGAGCTGTAGGAGAGATGCCGAGGATGGTCTCATTTAGCACGGAAGAGGACAAAAATACCAGCGTGGTGATTGCTGCCTGATTTATCAAGTGGAAACAACTGGGCTGGAGCGTCGTCCTCATCCCCGCTGAGCGCGGGGCTGCGATGCCCCAGCACTCAGGCAGGGAAGAAAATCAGCCACCGGCTGCCTTCTCCTTCCAAAAATACACAGAATTAATAACAATTAATTCTCCCCAAGCAGCTTCACCCCTGAGAAGCTTCACACCAGGCTCCTTTGTCCTCATCCTCCATCAGCAGGGATTAACCCAAACCTAGAGAGGGAGAAAACAACCCCTCTGCTTTTCATTTATTCCTTTAGGAGGAGCAAGTGGGAGCTCTTACCCTCATGCACTGGGGAAACTGAGGCACAAACACAACAGGGCCAAGTTCCTGATAGCGGGGAAGGGTTTGGGCAGAAAAAACGCAGAAATGGATTTCAAACCTCGGCAGGGTTCGTTTAAAACTCTGGGCAGCTTTGGGGCCTCCAAGCCTGGGACAGTCCCTGCTCTGTTTGTCCTTCCTCCGGCTCAGAGGTGACCCCTGCACCTTGCCAAAGAAATTGGGATTAAATCGGATCCCACCCATTTATCTGGGGCTGGTTTTTCACCCTGGCCTGTGTTTAACACCCAGCCCGGCTCCGGGCAGCCCCGCAGGGAGCTGGCACGGCACCGCCCGGGCAGATGGGGAAGGACACGTTTCCACTAATCTGCCCCAATCTGGATTATTTTTCAAAATAAACCTGCTTTCCCAGCTGTTTTAAGCAAGTTTTTGGCACGTTGGGGACAAGTGGGATTCTGGGGATGGGGGAGAAGCTGGCAGGGGTGGAGGCGACGGAGGGGATAGCATGGCTGCTGGGTGTCCCCGTGCCACCAGGCTGCCGTCGTTCGCTTGGAGAGCGGGGACCGGAGCATCTTTGAGGTGGTTTTGGCAGCGCATCACCCAGCCCACGGGGCTGGGATCATCCCACGGTGCTTACTGCGGGCAGGGGGGTCTGCGCTGAAGTTTTCTCCTACCAAAAGCCACCGAGAAATGATTTACATTGAGGGACCGGTGGCAGCCCCGGAGCCCATCTCTCCCCACCCCATCTCCCATCCGAAGCAGAGCTGGGATCTTCTGCAGCTCCCGTCAGGATAAAACAGCACAGAAAACGCCTCTGGCCATGGATGTCCAGGATGGTCCACATCAGCCGGTCTCGGGGGGCTTGGGGGTCTCTCAGAGAGCCAGGGTGAGCAGGATCAACCCCGGGCAGACCAGCATCGGTCTCTCACC